AAATACATTTAAGGAGGGAGGTGTAGCGGAGAGTGCAGCTGCAGAGGGCTAGAAGCCTGGATGAGCATCAGAAGGCTCAGGTTCAGAAGGCACTGGTGGTTCAGACAACCCCAGTGGATCAGAAGGGCTTAGGGTCAGGAGACACTGGCAGTTCAGACAACCCCAGCGGGTCAGGAGGCTGTAGGTCAGGAGACACTGGCAGTTCAGACAACCCCAGTGGGTCAGGAGGCTCTAGGTCAGGAGGCACAGGTGGTTCAGACAACCCCAGTGGGTCAGGAGGCTCTAGGTCAGGAGACACAGGTGGTTCAAACAACCTCAGTGGGTCAGGAGGCTCTAGGTCAGGAGGCACAGGTGGTTCAAACAACCTCAGTGGGTCAGGAGGCTCTAGGTCAGGAGGCACTGGTGGTTCAGACAACCCCAGTGGGTCAGGAGGCTCTAGGTCAGGAGGCACTGGTGGTTCAGACAACCCCAGTGGTTTAGGAGGCTTAGGGTCAGGAGACACTGGCGGTTCAGACAACCCCAGTGGGTCAGGAGGCTCTAGGTCAGGAGGCACAGGTGGTTCAGACAACCCCAGTGGGTCAGGAGGCTCTAGGTCAAGAGGCACCGGTGGTTCAGACAACCCCAGTGGATGAGGAGGCTTAGGGGTTGGAGACACTGGTGGTTCAGACAATCTCAGTGGATGAAGAGGCTTAGGGGTTGGAGACACTGGTGGTTCAGACAACCCCAGTGGGTCAGGAGGCTCTAGGTCAGGAGGCACTGGTGGTTCAAACAACCCCAGTGGATCAGGAGGCTCTAGGTCAGGAGGCACTTGTGGTTCAGACAACCTCAGTGGAAGAGGAGGCTTAGGGGCAGGAGACACTGGCAGTTCAAACAACCCCAGTGGGTCAGGAGGCTCTAGGTCAGGAGGCACTGGTGGTTCAGACAACCTCAGTGGATGAGGAGGCTTAGGGGCAGGATACACTGGCGGTTCAAACATCCCCAGTGGGTCAGAAGGCTCTAGGTCAGGAGGCACTGGTGGTTCAGACAACCTCAGTGGATGAGGAGGCTTAGGGGCAGGATACAAAGGTGGTTCAAACAACGCCAGTGGGTCAGGAGGCTCTTGATCAGGAGGCACTGGTGGTTCAGACAACCCCAGTGGATCAGGAGGCACTGGTGGTTCAGACAACCTCAGTGGAAGAGGAGGCTTAGGGGCAGGAGACACTGGCAGTTCAAACAACCCCAGTGGGTCAGGAGGCTCTAGGTCAGGAGGCACTGGTGGTTCAGACAATCCTAGTGGGTCAGGAGGATCAGGTTCAGAAGGCACTGATGATTCAGACAACCCCAGTGGGTCAGAAGGCTCTAGGTCAGGAGGCACTGGTGGTTCAGACAACCTCAGTGGATGAGGAGGCTTAGGGGCAGGATACAAAGGTGGTTCAAACAACGCCAGTGGGTCAGGAGGCTCTTGGTCAGGAGGCACAGGTGGTTCAGACAACCCCAGTGGGTCAGAAGGCTCTAGGTCAGGAGGCACTGGTAGTTTAGACAACCCCAGTGGGTCAGGAGGCTCTAGGTCAGGAGGCACAGGTGGTTCAGACAACCTCAGTGGGTCAGGAGGCTCTAGGTCAGGAGGCACAGGTGGTTCAGACAACCTCAGTGGGCGAGGAGGCTCTAGGTCAGGAGGCACAGGTGGTTCAGACAACCCCAGTGGGTCAGGAGGTTCTAGGTCAGGAGGCACTGGTGGTTCAGACAACCCCAGTGTGTCAGGAGACTTAAGGGCAGAAGGCATCGAAAGGTCACAAGGCTCACGTGGCAGTCATTTGGAAAATTCGGGAGGATCTGGTGCCCCTGGAGGATCTGGCAGTGACAATGGATCTGGCAGCTCTGGCAGTGACGGTGGATCTGGCAGCCCTGGCAGTGACGGAAGATCTTGCAGCTCTGGCAGTGATAGAGGATCTGGCAGTTCTGGAGGTGGTAGTGGCAACACTGGCAGTAAAAGCTCTGGTGTGGCAGCAGCTCTGGCAACTCAGGTGGTGGTGGCCATACTTCTGGCTCAGGTGATGTCATTTCACGGACAGGAACTTAGATGGGAACCATGACGGGAAGACTTGGAACAGGAAACCATCTTCCGAGCAGGAGACAGACAGACTGGCGGTACCCATCTTGTGAGCTGGAGAACTGGTAGCATCCAATCTTGTGCGTTGGTGGACTAATGGAGGCCATTTTAAATGCTTGCAAACTGATGGCAGCCATCCCAAGAGCTTGTAGAGCTTCAGAGACTCTGCAGCACAAACTTCTACAAAAATTGCAGTTCTTAAAACAAAGTTGCAAGAACTGCCGGACCACACAGGGAAGCTTCCTCCCCTTAAAACCCATCCCCTCACCTACAATATAACAGAGCTCTGCTTCTGTAAACAAGTCACCTGTAGCCACAGGGTAGCGGAACCTCAGTGTCTGTTTAATCTGCCTGCCTTGCTGTTGAATCTGTTTTTCTCTTGATATGGTATATAATTCACTTCTGTACATAATTTACCAAAGCCTACGGATGTGACTCTACATAGTTCTTTTGATAAGTGCTTTTGTCAGGTTTTTTAATCACAAAACCGTTGATGTAACTTAATAACATCTAAAATCTCTTCCAGTTCCACATACTTGAGTGTGTCCAGTGTGTAGTGTGGATCCTCCAGTTGTTCAGAGAGCAGCTTGACTCCTGAATCTCCTGGATGATTGTAGCTCAGATCCAGCTCTCTCAGGTGTGAGGGGTTTGAAGTCAGAGCTGAAGACAGAAAACCACAGCCTTCCTCTGTCACCATACAGCCAGACAACCTACACACACAAACAGTCCACATCATATTTGTTTGGCAGAGAGATAACACTCAAGAAAAAGTCACGAGTGCAGCCTGATATTTCCTGCTGTTGTTTTCTGCAGGCACAGTACTTTATACAATTCTGTTCATTCTGACCTGGGCCTTTCTTCTGTCAGAATTCTGTCAGAATTCTGACAGAATTCTTCTTTCCATTGTATTAATTGATGGAAAAGCGTTTACCTCAGTATCTCCAGTTTACAGTCTGGACTCTTCAGTCCACCAGAGAGCTTCTCCACTCCTGAATCCTGCAGGTCATTGTTACTCAGGTCCAGCTCTCTCAGGACACCGTTTGAGGATTGTAGAGCCGAGGACAAACTCTCACAGGACTGAGGATTGAATTTGCACAAGACCAATCTGTGAAAGAAGAACACAGACTACATAAGTGTGACTTTTAGTAATTGTGTATATGTAACCACAGTGGACGGACATGTGCCACTATAATACACTATCATCTTCTGCAGCACCACGTTTTGGACACTGGTACATCTGGACTGATTGTATTCGTCATGGAGGTGCATGAACCAAACCCTAACTCCAGTACTGTGACACTTCAGAATGAATGCATATGCCGATACACTCCTAATGCATATCAATCAATCAGGTGTTTGAACTCAGACCTCAGTATCTCCAGTTTACAGTCTGGATTCTTCAGTCCAGCAGAGAGAAGCTTCACTCCTAAATCCTGCAGGTCATTGTTACTCAGGTCCAGCTCTCTCAGAACACAGTTTGAGGATTGTAGAGCTGAAGACAAACTCTCACAATGCTGAGCAGTGAGATTACACATGCACAGCCTGAGAAAGAAGACAGATTACATTAATATATTTAGTAATTCCACTGATGTAATAATACATTTAAAATGAGATATCAATCAATAAATCAGGTGCATGAACTCAGACCTCAGTGTCTCCACTTTACAGTTTGGATTCTTCAGTCCATCAGAGAGAAGCTTCACTCCTGAATCCTGCAGGTCATTGTTACTCAGGTCCAAATCTCTCAGCACACAGTTTGAGGATTGTAGAGCTGAAGACAAACTCTCACAAGACTGAACAGTGAGATTACACATGCACAGCCTGAGAAAGTAGAGAGATTACATTAACAGTGTGATTTTTAGCAAATCAACAAATGTAATAATACACATATAGCTTTCAAATTAAAGCTGTCAGCTGTCAGCTTTAATTTGAGGGTATTTATATCCACATCAGGTGAATGATTTAGGAATTACAACAGTTTGCATTTGTGCCTCTCACTGTTAAGGGACCAAAAGTAATTGGACAATTGGCTTCTAATCTATTTAATGGCCAGGTATGTGTTATTCCCTAATTATCCTAATTACAATGAGCAGATAAAAGTTGAACTCAGACCTCAGTATCTCCAGTTTACAATCTGGACTCATCAGTCCATCAAAGAGAATCTTCACTCCTGAATCCTGCAGGTCATTGTTACTCAGGTCCAGCTCTCTCAGCACACAGTTTGAGGATTGTAGAGCTAAAGACAAACTCTCACAGCACTGAACAGAGAGATTACAGCACTGTAGCCTGTAAGAAAAACGAGAAATAATTATTTTGTGTTGACCAAGAAGGGATAATCCAGAACAAAAATAGTTGAATGTTGTGTTTTATTTTGAGCAACATGTTAAAACCCCTAAATGTACACCATCTATATTTAAACATTTAAAATGTGTTAACAGAAAAGAGAGACTATATTATTGTATTGTGTAAAAAGAGAATCAAACGATTGCAAAGAATGTTTGACAATGAAGTAAATATAAGGAGAACTAATAATGTATATACTGTATAGAGCAGGTGATCAGTAATACATATTTGATGTAAAAGCACAAATAGTCATGAATCATGGATTGTAGATGTGTTGCAAATCGATGTGTGAAATGGAAATAAGTTTGTTCATAAAACTCTTACAGTGCTCTTCTTGTGTTCTTGATCACTGGCATCAGTCTCATCAGTGCTTCATCAGATCTTCTGTACTTCTGCAGTTCAAACTTCTCTTGAGGCTCTTCTGACATCAGGAGCACAAACACCAGACCCGACCACTGAGCAGAGGACAGATCCTGTGATGTGAGATTTCCAGAGCTCAGACTCTTCTGGAGGTCCTCCACAAAGTCATCCTTCAGTTCATTCAGACAGTGGAAGAGGTTGATGGTCCTCTCTGCTGATTTCTCCTTCTCTATTTTCTTTTTGATATAGTCTGTCGTGTCTTTGATGTTCTCAGTTTTGAGCTTCAGTTCTGGCAGAAGCTCCTTCAGGTCACTCTGATTGGACTCCAGTGAGAGACCCAGCAGGAAGCGCAGGAAAAGGTCCAGGTGTCCATTCTTGCTTTGTAAAGTCTTCTTGACTGCAGCTTTATGAAGTTTAAACAGGGGCTTTTCAGAGAGTTTCCATGTCAGCTTTTTCCAGGAATCAAGAAATGGGTTTCTTTTCTTGTTGTTGGTGATGAAAAACACATAGAGAGCAGCGAGGAACTCCTGAACGCTGAGATGTACGAAGCTGTAAACCTTTCTAGCTGAAACCTTTTCTTCCTGGAACATCAGAGTACATAACCCAGAGAACACTGTCCCCTCACTGATGTCTAGCCCACACTCCTGAAGCTCCTCTTTGTAGAAAATCAGATTTCCTTTCTCCAGCTGTTGGAAAGCCAGTTTCCCAAGCTTCAGAACAATGTCATCAAAAGACCTGCCATTGACTTTAGGGTCATGACTGTATTTCTTTTCCATCAGCTGTTGCTGAGTAAGCAAGAACTTGATGTACATCCCTGTGAGAGTTGTGGGTGTTTTTTCACTGCTCTCTCGAGCCAAAAGAGGCTGAAGAACAGTGAGAGAGATCCAGCAGAAGACAGGGATGTGGCACATGATGTACAGACTCCTGGATTTCCTGATGTGACTGATGATGTTTCCAGCAACCTCAGCACTGCTGTTTTTGATGAAGTACTGCTCCTTCTGTTCATCATTGAATCCTCGCACCTCAGTCACCTGATCAATGTAGTCTCGGGGTATCAGACTGGCTGCTGCTGGTCTGGATGTGATCCAGATGAGGGAAGAAGACATCAGATGTCCCTTTATTAGATTGATAACTATCTTATCCACGGTTGTTTTTTCACCAACATCTTCAAACTCTTCACAGTCTTCAAATCTCAGGGGGAAGCGACATTCATCCAGTCCATCAAAGATAAACAAGACCTTACCATCTTCCTCTGGAAGAGAGAGCAATTCTTCAGATCCAGTGAAGAAGTATTTGTTCAGCAGTTCCATGAGACTGCACTTTTTTTCTTTAATCAGATTCAGTCTGCGGAACGGCAGAGGAAATATGAAGACTATTTCCTGATTGTCTTCACCCTCCGCCCAGTCAAGGATGAATTTATTGACAGAGAAGGTCTTCCCCACCCCTGCGATTCCCATAGTCAGCACTTTTCTGTTTAGTAGACCCGTATCATGGTGGATTTTGAAAATGTCCTTGCACTGGATTGGCGTGTCTTTGGTAGTCGGTCGGTTGTAATTTGATTCAATCTGCCTCACCTCATGCTCGCACAATATTCCGCCAGTCTCGTTCTCCACCATGTATAAATCAGTGTAAATATCATCCAGGCATTTCCTCCGACCTGTCTGTGAATTACCAACTAATATCCTCTTGTAGTCCAGCATGAGCTTTTGCTTTAGTCTGAGGTTGAGGTCCGTATCATCAACAGATGTTTTACACTGATCTGAAGTTGGGCCTTTCAGAAAGAAAAATCAAGAGTTAGCAAAGATTAACAGATGATTAAATACATAACTTATGTAAAAACTCATCCTGTGAAGTAGCTTTCCCTCAGCAAAGTTTAAAACCTCCATATGTACCTAAGAGAGAGAGGGATATTACAAAGTAATGTCCTTTTTTAAACCGACTTTTGCTAATTCTTTCCTCACAATGAGGTCCTGTCCACACTCTACACTGTCTTATAAAAATGAAGGTTAAATATCCCTGTAAATGAGAAAATGAAGCATGCTTGTATTCATTCATGCTCGAGTTATAGAAATTGATGACTTTCTAACCTCATTTGCCTAGGCATCCACACCCTTTGGTCTTTTCTATTGCTTACAGGGCTTGGACAATGAAACTGAAACACTGGGCAATTTAGTGTTGGAGGATTCATGGCTAAATATAACCAGACAATCTTCAACAGAGTGAAAACACAGTTTTGATCAAAATATTGCAATGAACACAACACTATGGGTGACATATGAGAGTTCGAAAACAAAATGTTGGTGTGTAACCCCTGCCGGTCCTACACCACCCAGCCCGCTCCGAGCTGGGATCAAACCGGCGACCTTCCGCATGGGAATCGGTTGCTCTAACAAGGAGGCTACAAAATGATGGCCTCTAGCAATTGTCGGTAGAGCACCTTTAGAGGTCAAAGGAGCGAGGTTTTACCTGCACAGCACTTACTAGCTGGCCTCCGCTATAGGTACACATCTCGTTGGCAAGTCTTAGTGATGTATCAAGACCCACGGCATCAGAGTAATGTCAGGATACCACCAGGAAGGATCCAACAGGAGGATCTGCGGACGTGAAAGGAAGCTGTCTGAAAGGGATATCTAGCTGCTATCTTGCATTGTATGGCCCAATCCCAATTCTATTTTTGTAATTCGTGCTCATTCCCAGCCACTAGACTTTTAACAGAGATGGCCAACTGCTATAGGTCATATGTGCCAATGGACATTGGTCCCCCGTGCCAATGCCAAACATCCGTTTCAATGGTGCCAGCAGCACAATGTGGACACTGTGAAACATGTATTGTCCTCTGTCCAGCCCACCATCACTGTCTTTCTAACATCTGGGAGAGTTACAGTGTGGAGAAGCCCCGAAAAAACGTGTACCACCCAGACTGTTGCATGCCCAGAGTGAAGCATGGGGGTGGATCAGTGATGGTTTAGGCTGCAATACTATGGCAATCCAATACTTGTACTAGATAGGTGCATCACTGCCAAGGACTACCGAACCCTTCTGGAGCACAATGTGCACCCAATGGTTCAGACATTGTGTCCTGAAGGCGATGCCTTGTATCAGGATGATAATGCACCATTACACATAGTTAGACTGGTGGTTTGATGAAAGTGCTTTCATTATCCAACCCCTGTAGACTAGCTGGTGAATTGACACCCCAGAAAAACAGGATTATACCTTGTGGATAAACTGTTTATTCCAAAAAATTAATGGAACTGCAGTAGAGCTAAAGAGGTCAGAGAATGAGGTCTCGTGCTTCTGACTGATCTGGTCATCCACATGTGCAATCTCACACAAACACACATTCTAATCAAATGGTTTTCTGTGAACTGTCATGGCACAAGCTGTCTTTTAAACAGCTCATCCGGTTGATTTGAACTAATCAAAATGTAAATCAACAATCACACTATTAAACGGGGACAGGGAATTAATCAATACCTTGCTTCTGTGTATTCTCCAGCTCTTCAGCCAAGTTATTCTGCTTTATTTTCCTCAGGGTGTCCACTGTGATCTTCACAGCTCTTTTTGGTCCAAAACATGACACCATCTTATCCACCGTCTTCAACCGGTCTGCATTCTCCATTTCAGCTTTTGAAACACATCCATGGTCATTGGTTAAACACCACTGAAACTCCTTTAGTTCAGCTTCTAGCAGTTCATCCAGTGAGCTCTTGAGCAGCTGTTTAACATTGGCCATCGTGATTCACCCATTCACAGCTACAAGACAAGAGCAACAACATCTGAATTACTTTCATAATACTGAAATTAACCTGTGAGCTCAAACATGACATACATCCTGAAAACTGATTGTGACTATTTTAAGTAGCACTTACCAACCAGGAGCGGATGTTTCTCGTTCCTCTACTTAACTGGTGTCTTGAGCAGAAGATCTGTAACCGTCCTTCCTGTATCATCATGCAGGAGGGGTTTTAAGAACTGGTTAAACCAGATCTGTTCTTGAAAAAAAAAAAAATAATAACAAAAGACTTCAGATGACAGGTGAGGTTACTATCAGCTAGAGAATCACACACATTTGTCCAGGCAAAATACCCCGTCACAATGCGTCTGGCATGCTACATTCTACAAATGCCTGTCACAGGGGGTGGGGGGCACCCCAGAGGTTATTGTATCTCCTACACTAAAATCTAACAACTTTACTTGATTTATTTCAGTTGACTTTACTTAATAGGACATTTTTTTGTTGTTGTTTAAATGACTTTTGCAGCAATAGTAATTCTTGTGTTCTACTTGTGTTCAAATATCCTCATTAAACATCATGTGTGAGAGTACAAGCTACGACTTGCAGAAGCTCTAGGTCAAATTCCATTCAGCTGTCATGTCAGCTTCCCAAACCGCAGTCAGACAACAGCTAATGCTTCTGATGAATATTATATTTAAAACTAACCCATTTATTTATTTGATGAATTCCTAATGAAACTATGAGAACTCTTTTCACCAATTTCACCATTAGGCCCATGTACAATCACACTCCCAAAACCCACTGTACACGCTCTAATATAAAAATATATCAACACTTTAAATGTTTAGTGCATGAAGTATCTAATGTGAGCTAACATTCATTTATTTTCCTTTTGGCTTAGTCCCTTTATTAATCTGGGGTCGCCACAGCAGAACCAACCCATCACTGGGAAACACCCATACACACATTCACATTCATACACTACAGATTTTTGAGCTCACCCAATTTCCCTACAGCGTGTGTGTTTGGACTGTGGGAGAAACCGGAGCACCCGGAGGAAACCCACGCCAACACGGGGAGAACATGCAAACTCCACACGGATTTTTGGGTTAAACTCAATGATGTTCCTAGAGTTTTAAAACGGATGGATCCGCTTCATTTTCTACAGCCTTACACTTGTATTAGGTTACATATTAGTTTTGAAAGCTGGCAAAGATGTCAAGCATAGCATTTGCACATTTGCACAACAACTGATTAAGCACTTAGCTGGTCAGGATGGAAAGTGACCAGCTAAAACCAGCTTGACCATGCTGGTTAAGGCTGGACAGAGCTGGTTTCGGGTGGGCTCCCAGCGTGCCTAGGCTGGTCAAGCTGGTTTTAACTGTTCATATCCCAGCCTGTCCAGCTAAAACCAGGCTGGAAATGGCTGGAAACCAGCCTGGAAGTTGATAAAACCTCTCTAAAACCAGGCTGGTCGACCAGCTAAAACCAGTCAACCATGCTAGGCTGGTTTAAGCTGGATTTTTTTAGCAGGGCCCTACTGAAAAAACAGCTTAAACCAGCCTAGGATGGTTGACTGGTTTTAGCTGGTCTCACAGGCTGGTTTTAGAGAGGTTTTATCAACTTCCAGGCTGGTTTCCAGCCATTTCCAGCCTGGTTTTAGCTGGACAGGCTGGAAAATGAACACAGCTAAATCCAGCTAAAACCAGCTTGACCAGCCTAGGCACGCTGGGAGCCCACCCGAAACCCAGCTCTGTCCAGCCTTAACCAGCATGGTCAAGCTG